TTTTTTTTTTTTAAGAACAAATATACGTAAAATAATTTATTTGGTTGTATGAGTGGCTTTGGGGGATTTGAGCACTTCAACGAGTGTAAGACTGCCTTTTTTTAACCCCCTTTTCTTGTTTCTAGGTGTAATGAGTTTGAATGAAGTGACTTCGGGTTACTTTGGCGATGTGCCGTACTGCAGCCCCGTAGAAAGCAGTATATATTTGGACGTCCTCACATCTGCAAGGATACATCGTGTCCCTGAATCCATGATGACGAAGGCCGACGCTGAGAATTTTTTCGTGGATTCTAGTACTCAATATCATAGCTTGGTCCTGCAACTAAATAATAAGGCTGATGGAGCTACAAGTCGGCCAAATTCTAGTTGTGACATTGGGGTTCTCGATGCTATCCCTCCTCTGTTTCAATCGCCGTCCGTTCAGCGGATTTTTCGAGAGGACGAGTACAACAACTGCTTTGTGACCATTGAGTCAAAGGAACCGAGTCGCACCTCCGCTAATGATTATTTTGGTACTAAAGATGGCTCGCCTGTTCATGTGGTGTCGCTTGATCTGAAGGGGATAGATAACACGTGGCAGTCTCTTTTGTCATTTCTTTTGGGAGATGCGCCTTGTGAAAAAGGTGTTGTGTACCTTCTACCAAGCCTTGACGCCTACCTCCACAAAGGAGATCCGTACAGTGGCTTTATGTTCTCTTTGTGGGCGCTTGGTATATCCTCAATACTGCATCACTTTGCCTCAAATTCCATGCATTCGACTCGTCAACGACTTAATAAGGTGAGCATTTGTATTACTGTTTTGGAAGGCGCTGAGGGTGAAAGTGTCGCGGATGACGTTCATCTTTTTCTTGAGAACAGATTAAGGATTTGTGTGAGTCGCGCAAATAAAGTCTCGGACATACCGAGTGATACTTTAAATGTGGATTCAGCGAATGTGGCTACTGCGGATAATCGTGAGGAGTGGCTTGAGAAGGCGACAGAGATGGTTGTAGGAATTCACGAGGAATTGTGTGATGTAGATGAAGAGGACCAGAATGGATCGGATTGCAAGTTGCGTTGTATTTTGTTTGTCATACCCGAGGTAAAATTTCTGCGAAGAGATTTGGAGAGATACCTATGCGACAGTTATACTTCCATTCCAATTGTTGTCGTTACAGAAGAGAAACAAATCCGCAATCTGTTATTGTCCAACGACCGCCGGACCCCTATAACACTGTTCTGCTCGCAGCAAAAAATTGAGGAGGAGCTTCGAAAGCCAGATCATGAAAGATTCTTGAATCATTTGACTGTGAAAGCTATTTTTTATGGCGAGGCAAACCGTTGTGACCGCGAGATTGCTATTATTCGCCTACTCCTTCCTGGAGGTCCTCTTCCAGTGATGTTGCCGCATCCACTTCTTGATTCCGCAGATAAAGAGGAACACTGTGATAAGTTACGTCTTCCTGGTAGTGAGTGCTTTCAAGAGGCAATGAATGTTGTCCTATGGCTATTTAGACGCTTTAGACTTGATCTTTCTCGAGGAGGAACAAATCCAGTATTACATATATCTGAAATGTTTTTCGTTTCTCGAGGTGCGGTGGAGTTTTTTGAGAATGTTATGAAGTCAATGAAAGCAGCTGGTTTGGTGTGCTTTGTGAAGCAGTCTGATGGTTCAAACGCGTATCGTCTAGAGGTCCTTGGGCGGACTCTTTCATATAGGTTTCGTTTGCCTTATGAACCGCTATTTCCTGAATTCACGCCATTTGATGTTAAATGCATCCTTTGGTGTCACGCTTTTAGACAATCCAGAGCCACTGCTCAAGAGCTAATATGTGCTGCTCATTTTCTACCAACGTGGGTTGAGGGTGCACTTCAAAAATTTTTCTCGCGTCATAGAATAACGTTGGAAAACGAAGTAAGTTCAGAAGAAGAGGCTGTGGCTCTTGTTCAGCATCTTTCTTCTGTGCCTAAGTACGGTCCGAATTTTTCACGAGTGAAGACCTTTTTAAGTCATCCCTCGGGAGAAAGAGTGCCCATTTCTAAGCATTTTACGGGAACACAATCAACTTCTTGCCGGGGCTGGTTTGAACAGGCGCCTATTAGCAGAAATCCGGAAACGATACCGAGGCCTCATGTGAACGTTTACTGTTATCCTTCTTCTACTGAGTTGTGTGAAGTGCGGTTTGGAGGCGAAACAATGCAGTGTCCACTGGATCTTTCGTACCCTTTGATTGCAACCCACATTGCTCTTCACACCACGCTCTGGAACAATGGAGTTTTTCTTGAGTATTACAATGATTCTAGTGCGGCACCTCTTTTACCAATACCTTCAGCCGTACTTCAGTCTCCTACATTGAGGTCTTTTTTGAATGATGTTAATGATGGAAATGTAGGATTCTGGCTTGACAATTGCATGGATTCAGGTCCTGCGCTTTCTGATCCTTTGGTGCTTGCTTCTTTAATGTCAAAGGCACACTCCTTATTGGGGCTTTGCGACCATGGGGCACTCCGCCGGAAACGTCTTCAAAAGGAAGCCGCGGTGAAACGTCAGAAATGCGAAGTAAAAGCAGACTTCAAGACCCCATCGGAGGCTGAAGCAGCAACCATTAGGGAATTCGCCAACGCAGCTATAAAACTGGGACGTGAGAATGCGGAGAAGCGTTTTACAGGAATGAGAGGATTTGCTTTTTTAAATCCTTCGCATGAAAACCATGCTTACTACATTCATGTTTTGGAGCAATCCTCCAAGTAAACTAAGTGAGACTGTTGTGTTTACACAATTATGGTTTTTGTATACATTGCTGATGAATAAATTTTGAGATCATTTTGTTGTTTGCGTTACGCTGCGTTAATGACTTTGTCTTTGTTTCTTGTTTATTTTATTTCTACAGGGAACTTGGCTTAGTTTATACTATGAGGACTTTGTCAAGCGATGGTGTGGGTAGTATTGAAAAGGATCGCATGCGGCGCACACTTTCGTATGGGGCAGCTGTGACTGTATTGTCTATTGCGTTATATAGTTTATGCAAAGAACCTAGTGGCTTTTTCGCTGACAAATTGTCTGGATTTTGGACTTCTGCGCAACTTCCAGCGAGTAAGGGCATTAATATGACTTGTTCTGTTGACTCTGCAAGACGCTGCAACGCTTCCTTTGACATTATAGATTTCCCAGTACAGGAGCTTTCAATGAGGTTTCTTTCTTCGCAGGCGGCGGAATGGGTTGCTGTAGAACCTGTAGGTGAGGATGGATGGGTGTTGCTGATTTACCTCAAGGGCCGTTTGATGGTGAGAGCTCTTAGCCACTCTAACGTAAGCATGATTTCTTTTGGAAAGCGATTAACTGGAGAAAGAGTGACTACCTGGTGGGATAGGAAAGGCCGGTATGTCTGCGCCATTTTTCTTGTCATTATTGTGTTCAAATGGGTTCAACTGAAGTGTTTCTCGGCTCGTCATGTGAAATACCACAAGAGACTTTATAGAGGTTTACTTCAAAAGTCGGATACAAGGAAGAAAAGAGATTAGATGCTCTTAAAAGTCTGAACCACTGCTTCAGATTGTATATTTCTTGTTGTGTGGTGTAGTATTCCCATTTCAGGGAAACAGTGTTTGATCCGATGACTTGACACACACATACACACTCGATGATTATTTCTTCTTTCTTGCTCACTCAGATTAGCTTTTGTCTCCTCTATCTGTATTCCTGTAATAATCTCTTTTTTCGATTTACTAGGCGCACTTTTGTAGTTTTTGCCCGGCCATTTGGTTAGGATACGGCGCACACAGAGGAATAGTTAGTTGAATATCTTTATTACCACTTTTTTTGCGTACTTGCAGATGCAGAGTGCGAAGAAGCGTGAGGTATGCTACGAGGCGCGGGACTTGTATCATAAGTGTCTCGATACGCTTCCCGAGGATTCTGAAAAGGAGTGCGCTGATCAAAAAAAGGCTCTGGCGAAGGCTTGCCCTCCCAGCTGGATCAACTACTTTGAAAAACAGCGAGAAAGAGAACTGATCCTTCAAATGCAGTTAGATCAAAACCACGGCCGTGAAAGTTAGCAGTCTGCCCTTTTTTTTATGGGCAGCAAACTCTGAGAATGTTTGGTTCTCCTAGCGTGTTGAAACTTGGTGTAGACTCTTGTGAGGACAAGTAAAAAGTGAAAATGGGTCTTGCACTTTATATATATATATATATATATATATTGGCCAGCGGCAGATGTTCCCTTCCATGTGTTGGTTTTTCTTTTTTGTTGTGTAGTCTTTTTATTGGTAGTTGTGGACATTTTAGGAGGTGATCTTTGGAGAAAGATGAGCATCGGTAAAACTATTTACGTGGATAAAGAGCTTGGGGAGAACATGCGAAGCGTTTCGCAGATTCGGACGATGAGTGCCCTCATCGCCGGTGTTGGGGCAGGGGTGCTGGGCTTGACCGGTGTCGCAGGCGCATTATATTTCTTCGTGGCCGCTGCATTCACATCTCTAATGATAATGAATGTAGGCTGCGAGGGTACACCCGAGCGGTATTTTCCCTCTGGGAAGAAAGGGCTCTTTTCGTTTGGAAGTCTTACAAGCGGTGCTATGACTTTCATCTTGGCTTGGACGGTGGCGTATGACGCAATTTACATATTCTAAGAAAAAAAAAATAGTCTTGAAAGTATGCCCTTGGATTTATTCCTGAAGAAGCCACTAACCCCACCTATCTGATATCATGAGCAACGAGACATTATAGTAACCCCTACTGTGAGGTGACAGTGGTTCTGCTGGGTATCAAGTTTTTTCGTTGGATCTTTTTTTTTCCTTGAAGGGTGAGGAAAAGGGGAATAGGTCTTTCAGAGGGTCATGGAAAATACCCCAGAGAAGCTGAAGCAGCGACATGAGAACGTGTTGGATTTGCTAAAATGCACAGACCATAGCATTGACTTTTTCAAGGGCGACGAAGGGAAGGAAGGAGAACATGAGCGGGGGGAGCCGTATCAAAATATGCAAACAAACTGGCCATGGAAGGACCCTGTTGAAGATTGCGCTGCTTTGCGATTCAGCAGGGGAATCGCAAGCATGACAGAAAATCTAAATGCCCTATTGAACATCACGGCGCGTCAAAAGTGTGTTTTGGGATTCTCTCTGGATTCTTCGACACAAGAGACAACAATTCCCATGGAAGAAACTCCAGAGGGATTGATGACAAGTTTGGTGAAGAGCCGACCTACGTTTATGTGCTCCTCAGGCGCAACGAGTACGTCGGCTGAAGGCCCAAGCCCAGTGCAGCTGAATGACGCCGCAGCGTGGAAACATATGGGGGAGATGGAGCTCGCGTTCCGTAGGAGTCTTCGGAAGGAAACAGAATTGAAACGAAAGCTGATAGAAACTGAGGTTCGTGATGGCTTATCCTACCAGAAGGTTGTTTCAGAGCGAGAAGAACTCCGTCGTCTGCTGTCTGAAACAGAGGACGAGATTGAAGATTTGAAGTATGCGCATGAGCAGAAGGTTCGCCTTCTTAAAGAGGAGCTTGATACACATCAGGATATGACGATACGACTACAGGAAGCGGAGAATGCCCGGCACCTGGAATCTGCTTTTGCAAGTGAGCGAATTTCTCAGTATGAACGGGAAATAATGCTACTGCGCAGGTTGCTAGCTGATTCAACAGATAAGGAGTGTTTCCGACAAAGGGAAAAAGAAAGTGCTGAAGAAAGTGGTGGGACACAGATTAAGTCCCTCGAGGAGGCGCTGACGGCAGCGACAAGAATGAACACTGTTCTGTTAGGAAATGCGGAGAAACGTGACATGGCGCACAAGAATGCCCTCAAAGAGATTGACAACCTTGGAAGAAGGATTGTGGGGCTACAGGACGAAGTCTCATGCCAAAAAGAGGCTTACGAGGAAAAAATTGAGGCGATGGAAGCAGAACTCGTTTCCTTGAGGCCGTTCGTTGAACGTGCTAATGTGGCCGAGAAAAAACTGCTTGAGTACGCCCAGCGTAAACATATGACGGTGAATAATGAAGAAGAGGTGAAAAGGCTTCGAGTGGCGCTGAGGGATGCTAATAACCTTGCACTTACCCTCAAACGAGAATATGCAACGCTTGCAACCAGTGTGCAGTCGATCCGAAGAATTGGACAAGATGCGTACACTCAGTGTGACGCAATACCACGTTGTGATGCCAGCGTGAACACTTCTGGCGGTGCTGATTGTTTGGAGCACACCTCATGTATAATTGGATTGACACGCGAGGTTGAGCGGCTGACGAGTGAATGCGTGGCCCTACGTGAGAGGTTAGAAGCCCTAAAACAGGCGCATAGTATCGAAACGGATTTCTTGTCCGCAGGACTCTTGCAGGCCGAATCCAATCGTTTAGCGTACCTGCCGCAGGGGAGCGCATGTGCGCCGAGACATGAACCTCGGGCAATGAGTGATGTAGCCACACAAACAGTGTTGGTCGACGAAAGTGTTATTGTTTTTCCGGGACAGAAGATTGCAGAAACAGAAAAGGGATGCATGGATGGGTTGCAGCCCCCCATTGTGGTAGTTCTTTCCCCCAGAGTGAAGGACACACATGAAGACACAGAATCTTCGTCTTTGCACGAAATTAGTTTAGCAGAGCTCAATGAAAAATCATTTCGTAGCGCGACCGAAGAGCCGGTTACAGCCTCAGTTTTGTGGGCATCGTTATCGTAGCGGCTTTTTCACCCTTTTCTAAACAGGAAAGCCCGGGCTTAGGTTGTCAAAATGGTATTTTGTACCCTCCCCCCGTTGCAGTGAATGGACGAGTGTGGCGTTTCTAGTTTTTTTTTTTTGTTCAGGGTGAAGGAGATTTCAAGGCTGTTCCACTGCTTTACCATGGCGCTATGATGATGAGTGCCTGTGTACCTGTGGACATCGTGGCTACTTTGTGCAATAATTGGGGCTGCAAACGGGTTCTGTCTTTCTACACGTGTGCTTTGCTTTGGCGTGTGTAGTGATGATGATATGCTTTTCCTTTTATTTTCCCGTTTCAGTGGCTTTTAGGCCGTGACAAAAAATGCCAAGTATCTCCAATGGTACTTTTTTTTGGATTTCACATTGACGTTCTCGAGCGGGGCCGCTGTCATTGCCGGGTTCACTATTCTTCCAGGCCTTGTTTCAGGTTTCTTCTTGTGCGTGTTTTCACTTATTACGAACGGAGTGAGTGCTCTCTCTCAGGGGGTAAACACCAAAGGCGTGTGGAGGGCACGTCGGGTGATGCTGCTGCTCCACAAACCTCGCTGGGTGTTAGTCACTCTGATTCTCCTTGAAGAATTGGTGGTGGAGATGATGCCACTAGTATTTGAAATATTTTTCAGCCCTGTGGCCGCGATATTCTTTTTTGTTGGGCTTATTTTGATATTTGGCGAAATATTGCGACACGCGGTCTTCGTTCGTCACGCGTTGCAAGTAAATGCGTGCTGAGACCGGTGCTGCTCATGATGTGCCCAACCTCATCCATCACGTGGCCCATTGGCAAGTTGCTGGACCTTCTTGTTGTCAACAAGGAGAACGTGTTTCTAAGACGCTGTGCCTTCTGGAGGCTGATAGGTCTACATGAGTAACCACACAACAGGTGGCTCGACCGAAGAAGAAAAAAA